CAGATTTTTCTAGAGCTTGGGTTTCAAAGTGTTCCATGTAGAGGTTTGCAATGACAGGTGAGAGGGGTGATCCCATGGGTGCTCCTTCTATTTGTTTGTATTTTTGTCCATTATAGATGAAGTATGTGTTGGATAGGCAGTGGTTGGTCAGATCTAGGATGTGCTTGGGGGGGTTATATTTGTTTTGGATAGCTGTCAAAGCTTCTTTGATTGGCACTTGGGTGAAGAGGGATATGACATCAAAGCTCACGAGTAGGTCGCTGGGCTGTAAGTTTTGTTTATGATCTCTATGAACTGGAATGAGTTTTTTACGTGTGAGGTGATGGATTCTGCATAGGGTTGTAGTTGTTTAGCGAGAAATTTGGCTAGGTTTTTTAGAGGTGAGCCTATGGAGCTGACTATGGGTCTAAGTGGGGTTCCTTCTTTGTGTATCTTGGGGAGCCCATAGAACTTAGGGCATCTGGATGATTTCTCTCTGGGAATGATTCTTTGCTGGATCTCTTCGCTGATGGGGGAGGCTTTTATTTTGGATCTAGTGGTTTTTTCCAGGTAGGTGGTGGGATCTGTGTTCAGGGGTTTGTATGTGGAGTCTTGGAGTAGGTTGGTTAATTTGGTTTGGTAGTCAGATGTGTTCATAACCACTGTGGCGTTGCTCTTGTCTGCTGGTAGGATTATTATGCTGGTGTCTTCTTTCAGGTTAAGTAGTGCTGTCTGTTCCTCTTTGGGTAAGTTGCTTTTGGGTGGCTTGCTGGTGCAGAGGATGTTGGTGGTTTCGAATCTGATTCTGTTAGCATCGTCAGGGTTGATTTTGGTCAGGCTGGTTTCAACTCCGCATATAATGGTTTCAGTGGGGATGTGTTTGGGAGCGACTGCAAAGTTGAATCCTTTGGAAAGGACATTGGTTTCGGCTTTGGTGAGGATCCTATCTGAGATGTTATGCACTGTTTGTTTCATGTGTGGATATGAGGGAGGAGGGGTTTGTTTCTGGCATTCTTGTAGTCTTCGGAGTTTGTTGGTGTGTGTGTCTGTCTTGAGGGTGGTCTGTGTTTCGGCTCTCCAGACGGCGAGTTGTTTGGATTTGTCCCAAAGTGCGGGGTGGATCTTGTTGCTGAGTTAGAGATGAAGTGAGAGGAGATCTTTGTTGATTCGATCTAGGAGGAATCTTTTTGTGTGAAGTTCATTTCTGATTAGGGCCAATTCTGTTCTTTTCAGGATGTGTTTGGTGGCTGCAGAGTTGGAGTGGAATTTCAATTGGAAGCATGTGGGGATTAAATTTTGATCTCAGCAGTTGCGTAGGAATGCGAGGTCACATAAAATTGAAGCTCTTTGGACTTCAAGTTTTTCATAGGTCCTGGTCAGATGGTGGATTTCCTCCCCATAGAGGTACGATATTTGTTTTCTGAGGTTTTCGCAGGTGTTTGTATGTAGGTCTTTGGTTATTCGGGTTTTCTCCGGCGTAAAATTGGAAGTGTCTTGACAACGTTTCGACGAAGTCCCATTCGTCATCTTCAGGCTGGTGTTTTCAGCTTCGTGCTTCTAGGAGTAATGTGTGCTCGCAGCTGTTTCTTCCTTTTAACTGCCAGTGGGGTTTGAACTGATTGGGTGGGAGCTTGGCCGTGTTCTGATTGGGTGGAGGTGTGTTCTGATTGGTTAAGGAGCTTGGCTGTGCTCTGATTGGCTGGGGGGTTGGCTGTGCTCTGATTGGCTGGGGGAGTGTTCTGTTTGGGTGGGGGCTTTGTTGTGCTCAGGTTAGTCTGAGTTGCAGGGGGATTTGAGATGGTGAGCTTCATTGCTGTTGTTTGGCTT